TAAGTTTGAGCTCCATGCAGAGAAAACGGAGTGCTGGAACATCGGCATCAGTGAAGTCCTCAAGAGCTCAATGCAGACACAGGCCTCCAAGGAAACACCAAGCCCAAGAGGATGCCAGCGTGGTTAGTGAGCAGAGGCAAGGAAGCTTTTAGAGGCAAGGCAGCTTACTTCAGGAACTGGAGGCCTTGCGCAAATGAGAATAAAAAGGAACACAAAAGAAATGCAAGCAAACAATAAGGTTACTGCCTGAAGTCTTGGACATAGAGTGGGGAGACCTGGATTCAAATCCTTTCTGTGATTCTTTAGAGGTGCTTTAGCAATGAATGCCCTGTACTGGTAGTGGGCTGGACTCGATGACCTTTGAGGTCCCTTCCAGCTCTGTGATTCACTTTTCTGATTTAGTACTAGGTTGCCTGTCTTAACAGCATGGGGAGTGTCTAACTGGGTGTGACGCAGAGATCTGGGCACTTGCTATCTTTCCATTTTAATGTCCCCATATAGAAAATAATGATATTGCCTTCACAAGGTATTTTTTTTATGTGTGAGTGTGTGGATGGGAAAAAACAATAGTGCTGCGTAATCCTTGTTAATGATATTTTCCCAGAGTAAAGCATTATTTTCAATTGCCTTTGTTCTCAGAGCATCTAAATCTTTCTTTTAAAAGTCTACAAAACTTTCCAGTTTTGCATATTTTTGTTGTTTAGTTGTGTCCGACTCTTTGTGACCCCATGGACCAGAGCATGCCGGGCACTCCTGTCTTCCACTGCCTCCCACAGTTTGGTCAAACTCATGCTGGTAACTTTGAGAACACTGTCCAACCATCTCATCCTTTGTCGTCCCCTTCTCCTTGTGCCCTCCATCTTTCCCAGCATCAGGGTCTTTTCCAGGGAGTCTTCTCTTCTCATGAGGTGGCCGAACTATTGGAGCCTCAGCTTCATGATCTGTCCTTCCAGGGAGCACTCAGGGCTGATTTCCTTCAGAATGGAGAGGTTTGATCTTCTTGCAGTCCATGGGACTCTCAAGAGTCTCCTCCAGCACCATAATTCAAAAGCATCAATTCTTCGGCGATCAGCCTTCTTTATGGTCCAGCTCTCACTTCCATACATCACTACTGGGAAAACCATAGTTTTAACTATACGGACCTTTGTTGGCAAGGTGATGTCTCTGCTTTTAAGATGCTGTCTAGGTTTGTCATTGCTATTCTCCCAAGAAGCAGGCGTATTAGTGTACCAAACAAAGGAAAGGGCTTTCCTTTTCCTCACCCTTTTGCTATATCTGCTCTCTCTTTCTCAGCCTGCTGCAATATTTCCCCCCCAAGGTTATAGCTGCTCGGAAAGAACTCTTGGAGTGTAAACGCATGGGCAACCTCAACTGTGGAGGCTGCTGACGCTCTAAGTAGCCGAGTTGCATATAGAGTTGGCATGTGTGTCCCTGAACTGACTAAATCCACTCCAAATCATTTCTAATGTGCCACAGGCTGATCTCATTAATCTCTGATACTCAGACAGATGATGAGTAGCCCAGAGTCATACACAGAAAATGCCTTTTGGAAATTATTTTGTCTGAGGGCAGAACGTGTCTGATTCCAAGACACTAACATTTGAGTGCCCAGAAGCCTAGTGTGCATTGGGTTTTTTCTTTTTCTTTCCAGATTTGTTCACTGCTAACTAGTGCCAAAAAGCCATTCTGAGCCTTTCAAGGCAATTATTTTAAAGCAAACAGCACATTTAAGACAGAGGGACTTGCACAGTGCGTGCGAGGAAGCTATAAGGAAGACTAATGTTCAGGGTCGTTAAGAGATTTTTATTTAAGATTAAATGAAGTGTGCAATCTTTTTGTATCCTAATTAGAATTCTCACGTAGAAATGTGAACAGCTTCATAAAGAGCATAACTTAGAAGGTCTGATGCCCAGCTCCAAATGAGAGATGCAGGAATAACTTTTGCTATATATTTTTTTGCCATTAGGGGGCATATTTCTCTTCACAAAGGCAACTATATTCCAGTGGCCCAAAGTCAAAAACTGCTTTTGGGAACATGAATCGGGCTGCCAGAAACCCTAACCACGTATTCTGATCTTGGACTCAGCTATACAGCAGCAAATAAAACGCTTTAAGTGTGTTGTGAAGTGCATTATACAAATTTGACACTAGATGGCGATGGTGAGCTATGGCAAATTCAATATATTTTTTCAAACCGTTTTTTTAAAAAAAGAATTTCACAATGTTTTTCATATGTGTCTAGATTCCACCCTTCTCTTTCTGTATATCATTGCAAGATGGAAGGAACATTCCTCCTCCTGTTGCAACACTATTTCTTCTCCCACTGTCCTCTATTTGCTGAAGTGCAGAATTTCTGCACTGCAGACCCTTTTCTGCTTGTGGAGGATACCTGTGCCATTTACAGCCCTGATCGTCTAGTTTAGCCTGCATAATGTGGAGGAGTCCATGAGTGGTGGTGACAGTGAAATGACGGAGGGGGCAGGTTTTGTGGGCACACCCTGCTCTTCTGAACACTTGAACAGGACTATTGTGTGATGAACTCACCTTTGGTGAGTATGAGCAGTTTCTCAGAATGGCAGGTATATGCACCTGACCAGTCCATCTAAATGTTGCATGCTGTTATTGGGCTGCTACGTGTGGGTTTGCTTTTATTGATCAATCTCTCCATGTGCCCAGGATGAACAAGTCCTTGCCTATCGATGCCCCAGAATAATCTGATAGATTTCTGAGGAGGAAGCACGACTACTGCTTGGAATTACAGGTGCACAGTCACATGCTCCAATGATCCTCTGTGTAGAAAAAACCATCTCTACAAATAGAAAACCTTGCTTTCTGATCTGGAAATGAACTTTTCACACTTGAGGTCACCTGAAAAAGCTCTTCCCTGAGGTGGTACAGTCCTCGCTATCACTTTAAGATTCAACTGCCTCATTTTAGTGCATGTGTAAGTCAGGCCTGAGCATTATCCACTACAGTTGTACCATGGAAGTAGAAAAATCAGTTCTGGAAGTCCATTCGACTTCCAAAACCAAAGCGTTGCTTCTGATTGGCTGCAGGAAACCAAATGCAAGAAACCAAATAGATTCCACCCATCTCCAGGCTAGCGTTGCCATATTCCAAGAAGTAAAATTCCAGACACAAAAGTTCAGCTTTATTGGGGGAAATGAAACTTCCCCCTTGTTGAACAACCCTACTCCAGGCTCATGTAAGCAGCTGGAAAGAGAAATAGGATTCCCTCACAAAGCGGCATATGTATATGTGTGTAATCTACCCTTATAATTTTTCATCTTGCTTCATGTGGTTAAAGGGCGTTAGAGGCAAAGCGTTTGTGCACCGTAAATCTCTAATCTCTTTTAAGGAGTGCAGTTACATGCCTACAAATGCAATTTTGCAAACTATGCCCCCAAAGAACTGTAAGGTAGAACTATAAAGTGGAACTATAAAGAGAAGTTATCCAGGATAAAACACACAGGGAAGCAGAACTTGCCCGAAAAGAATGAGAGAAAAATGAAAGCATAAACTTAAAAGATGAAACAAGCTAAGTACTCCCCACCCCTCTTCAAATAGTTGGAAACTCTGTAGACAAGGAGGATAAAGCTCATAGATGATTTGCCTGCTAGACATAATAAAGTTAAAGGGACCCCTGACCATTAGGTCCAGTCATGGCCGACTCTGGGGTTGCGGCGCTCATCTCGCTTTATTGGCCGAGGGAGCTGGCGTACAGCTTCCGGGTCATGTGGCCAGCATGACTAAGCCACTTCTGGCGAACCAGAGCAGCGCACGGAAACACCGTTTACCTTCCCACCGGAGCGGTACCTATTTATCTACTTGCACTTTGACGTGCTTTCAAACTGCTAGGTGGGCAGGAGCAGGGACCGAGCAACAGGAGCTCACCCCGTCGCGGGGATTCGAACCGCTGACCTTCTGATCGGCAAGTCCTATGCTCTGTGGTTTAACCCACAGCGTCACGCACGCTAGCTGGGTTCTATTTCCAGTGTTGAAGTTAGTGCAGGCCTCTGAATGCCAGTTGTTTTGCTCAGGTCCTGCTTTTGGGTTTCCCAGAAGTATCTAAGTGGCCGCTGTGAGGACTGGATGCTATATTAGAATAGACTTTGACCTGAATCATCATGTGTCTTCTTACATAAAAGGGGAAAAGGGTCACAAGCTGCAGTTGGAAGAGTCATTATGCATACAAGTTGTCTGTGTGGAGGGCAGAGGTGCCAACTTGAATAAAATATTGGAGGGGCCTTGTATCGATCACAAGATGTGGCACACACACAGAAACTATTTGAATGACAATGCTCATTAACTTTGGGGGTCTGGCCCCTGACCATTAGGTCCAGTTGTGGCCGACTCTGGGGTTGCAGCTCTCATCTCGCTTTATTGGCCGAGGGAGCCGGCGTACAGCTTCTGAGTCATGACTAAGCTGCTTCTGGCGAACCAGAGCAGCGCACGGAAACGCCGTTTACCTTCCCGCTGGAGTGATACCTATTTATCTACTTGCACTTTTGATGTGCTTTCGATCTGCTAGGTTGGCAAGAGCAGAGACCGAGTGACGGGAGCTCACCCTGTCGCAGGGATTCGAACCGCTGACCTTCTGATCGACAAGTCCTAGGCTCTGTGGTTTAACCCACAGCGCCACCCACGTCCCTACCTTGGCCCCTAGGAGTTGGCTAATAGGGTGCAGGGTGTGTGTGCAGAGTGACTTGGGATAACAGGCAGCTAGCAGATAGAGAGGGCGCAGTGATGGGTTCGATGCCTACTGGTCCAAACCCATGTCAACCCATGTCTTTTGTGCATAGGCTCAGTGCTCTGGGGCCCTGAAAAGAGCAGTTGATATGCATGGCCCAACTTGCATCTCCAACTGAACAAGGGAAGGAATAGCGGGTGCAATCCTCACCCCCTCCCATGTTTATTTACCCAAACACACTTTGTTATTTCTATAGTGTCAGAATCAAAAAGTATAACGCGCAACGACATGCAGGTAAGTGTCAGCTTACCTGATGCAGCGCGCCAACAATTTTGCGGGCCTCTTGATAGACCGTTTCAGGACTCCAGTGAGGGTTGACTTCCTTCAGCGCTTTTGCCAGGCGGTTGTGCTCTCGCAACCAAAGTGTATGCATAGCTGCCAGTGAAGGGACTTCGCTAGCTCGACTGTCTCCTGCCATGAAGCATTCAATCCTTTCTTCCTTGTCCGCCTTGGGGTCTTGAGCGCAAAGGGAAGGCACCTGGGCCACAAAAGGAAGGTATTCGCGGCCATTGTCAAAATATTGCGTGTTTATTCTCAGGAGGCCCTCTTCGCTTGTCAGGTTCCTCAGTTTGTTCTCTGCTGCGGGCGTGCTGCCATAAACCGTCGATGCGTCAAGGAAGGAGGTGAGGCTATTAATCTGTTGCCTTGGATTTAAGACAGAGAGGTTTCCTATGAGAAATCCTTGGTGACCAGTGGCACATGCAGGGGATGAGCGGTAAAATGGCAGGCAGCTCAGGCTCGTAGAGAACGTATCATTGGCAAAAACCTGCGGATTAAGTAAAATACCTTTCGTTAGGGAACATACTGCACAGCTATGACACAACTCTTGCTGATGCACATGTGGCTGAACTCTCAGGGCTGCTTCTTATGGTGTATTGTGCACACAGTGGATTAGATCTCTGAGTGGAAGGCCTCTTTCATTTTCATGACACATCAGTTGAAATATACTCGGAGTCGAGAGTGGATTTCATGCTCTTTATTCAGCTCATAGTGGTGAGGAGGAATGAATGTTCTCTCAAAATATCTGCTTTATATACATTATTTACACAATGGGCTGCACGTGATTAGCTAATTCTCCTGTAGGCCAATCAGGTTGTGGATTCACTTCCACCTGGAGCTGGATTGGGTGGCTCCTGCGGACCAATCAGACTGCTGAATTGTTCTAGGACCAATCAGACTTCTGCATTCCGAATCCTATTGTTCTAGGACCAATCAGACAGCTGCATTTTGGATCCTATTGTTCTAGGACCAATCAGACAGCTGCATTTTGGATTCTATTGTTCTAGGACCAATCAGACTGCTGCCTTTTGGACCCTATTCAACTCAGTACATAACATCAGTTGTCAAGGGAACAGGGGCATGTGCACAAATCACGCCCTTCCCCTTGCACTTGGCATAAAGCAGTTTAATGCCCTTGTTTAGAAAGGACAAATCCTTTTGTTGTTACTGTTAAACAGTTGGGCTCTATAGGCAAATTAAAGGAATATATTGATATATTTTTTTGCTGTTTTGCTGGTCTCATTGTGTTCCATTTTACAGTTCCAGGTCTTTATTTGAAATTTATTCAGTGGAAAATCTGCAGAGTTTCAATTAGGCATCAATTAATACACCGTCAATACATAATCACTCAAATGGCCCCCAAGTTTTAATGTACCCAGATATCATTTGCAGTTTCACAACATATGGGCTCTGTTTTTAAAAACTGGTTTTTGTGGGGTGAGGGGGAAGAGTTAAAATATGAGAATATATAGGGTGTTGGTCTTGTAAATACGTGTATTACTCATGTGAATGACAAAGTGGTTGAACAGGCATAATTGGGATAAGGCGGCCCTTCAAGTAAACTGTTCCTAAGCTGCTAAGGGCTTTATAGTAACACTTTGAATTTGGCCCAATAACAAATTGACAGCCAGTGTCGATCTCTGAGCAGAGGTGCACTATGCTGACACCAGTCTTAGCTACCACCAAGGCTACCTAGGTCTCCAGGGACGAAGTTGGAACCAGAAGCCAGATTGCATTCCTGCTCTTTCAGAGGAAGTGCAAGCCTGTCCAGGGCAGGCAATTGGCCAATTTCTCAGATATTTGTAAGAATGATGGGAGGTTTTCAGTAGCCCACCAGAATAAAGGTATGTGTGTGTGTGTGTATGTGCAGTATTTGAAAATGAAGGATGCACAAAATCCACATACACGTTTTTTTTACCTGGCATACCTACAAGAAAATACGACTTAGAAATGTGTTTATCCCCCTGGCCAGGCCTATGATTAGACAAAATGAGGGTCAGCTGGCTTAGCAGATGCTGGAAAGGAGAGAATGAAAGCAAGGTGTTGGGACAGTAGATCTGTGTGTACACATGGCTGTCCTACAACCCCTAAGCTAACCTGGTGCCCTCAGCTGCAGGGAAGGTTGTTCTGCTACCGGTATTGAAGTAGGCTTCTGTGCACAGAATGGGAGATGATGGAACTCCATCTTGTCCTTTGCCTCCAAAGGAATCAAATCGTCTTCGGGAGGCCCTGTTGCCCCTACCCATTTTTCTGAAGTTTAGCAACACATCACCTAATGTAATGAACCATGACAAGGCGGGATAAGAAAAATGGGTCGTTCCCTCATGGGGCAGTCCTCAGTGAGTTGTGAATTTCAAAAGATAACCAAACTTTGGAAAGAGGACAAATTTTCTCTGCCATTATGTACGATTGTTAAGGAAGGGCTGGTACTTTTCAATACAGTTTGCTAAAATAACCCCTCAAGGGAAACCTCTGCAGTGCTTTGATAAAGAAAAAAAGCACCAGCTTTGTAGAGATTGCTGACCTAATCCACCTTTTCTTCTGTTTGCTGTTGAGAGTAGTTCTTTTTTTTTAAGCATATACTCTAGAAGTCAAGATAAGCTCTATAAACCCCTATATTAATCTTGCAGGTATCATATATTACATTATAAATGCATCAAATCTGTTCCATGTTCAAGGTGCTATTAACAAACAAAAAGGGGATTTTTAAATTTGTGTTAATGCAGGTGGAGAAAAAACCAGACTGAATGGGGGAAATGCCAGGCACACAGAGAGGAAATCTGAGATTTAAATGAGATGATGAGGGCTGAAGGATACTTGTAATGGAGCTTTAAAATCTGTGGCTTAATGACATTTCCCCCCCACATTATTCAATAGGCCGTGTTGGTGTTTTTTTTTCTAAAATAGCACTGAAAACTCATTACTGTGGGGAATGCTATCAAGGAGGCTATTATGTTAAATACTTGCTTATCTTCTAAGCTGATTAAAACTTGTTTGATTAATAAATGCTCCCACTTCTTTGCTCATTAGTTTAGTGGAAACTGTTCCAAGGAGTGATCCTTTATTTTGACAATGAATATTTCTCCTGTTAATCGTGGCCTTTATTGCCTCTGTTGTGTAATCAAGTGTTTTCTTTGCTTGATGTTCCCCCGATGCAGTGTTTGCCTGCTTTATTAATTTGGTCGTTTAGATGCATCTTATTTTCCCTTTTCAATTGAAGGGAAGGAATTTTTAGGATCCAATGTACCTCCATTCTCCCAGTTGAAAATAAGCCTAAGCCCAGGTAACTCCCATTGCTCATATCCACCCCTCTTTCATTCTTCTCTTCCTTTCCTCTCTTGCCTTTCCCAATTTAAACTGCAAATTCCTCAGAGCCAGAGCACCGAGCACCAAGTGAATCTATGGCAACACTGTTCCTACTATTGCTTGGTATGACTATATTGGATCCTATATTCTTTTGAAATGCTGTTTGTGAAGTAGAATCTGAATAAATTCACTAGGCATTTAATTACGTAGTGAAATAAGGTGAAAAGGTTCTTGCAGCGGGCGGGGGGTAGGAATCTGTCAGTTTTTGTTTCTCCCCATTTCTCGTTTTCCCATTCTTAAGTTCTCTGAAAGCTCACCAGGATTTTAGTGTGGATTTTCCTAATATACATACTTCTGTATGCAATTTTGCCTCAAATACACATTTCTGCAAAGCAATTTCCCCTAATGCAATGCATTTTGCATGTTATTGCCCCTTCATTATTTTAATGTATTTGTTTATGTCCTTACTATGTTCCTTTTTAAGTGACATCAAACATGCCTCATGTTTTCTTGTTCTTGCAACCTATAACATCTTACTGTAGTGTATTTACATGAAGCCATTTCCTTTGCACAGTACCATGCCAGAAGGAAAGTTCAGCTTGTCTATTACAAGGGGAAAATATAGGGGCATAATTTTATACCTGAAAGTTTTTCCTTCTGTGGCTCATTGCAGTTCATTGGGCAAATTGGGTTAGAGATGGTGCATTGGAGCCGAAACATGGATGCCTTCTTCTCCCCACCCTCAATGATCCTGACCCAAATATGCCCCTCCCCTGGATACTTCTTTTTTTCTAGGAAAGAAAAACAGATGTGGCGTTCCAATCACAGAACCACTGTGAAACATCATCCTACATAGACCCCAAATCCTATGTGATCTGTAAGGGTAACACCAATGCTTGCAAGAATCATATGTGCTCTTTTATAATACCTAGGAGTCATCATCAATTCTCCAAAAAATGTGCTCTGAGAAATTACAGGACCAAAATGAACTGGGCTCCTTCTTTGTAGCTCACCTCATTTCCCAGCACTAATTCAGAAGAAAAGCTCTGCTGGATAAGATTAAATGAATTTAAAGACTTCGATGCACGTGGAAAGGAGCATCAGGCTATATTTTCAACCTGCATACCTTCATCTGAATACGTGAACAGAGCCCTACTACATATAACTATACACATGGGGGCTCTGTCCACACAATTGTCATTGAGAACACAAAGTTACCAATTGTGTAGACCAGAAATGGGCAATCTGTGGCCCTCCAGATTTTGCTGGACTTCTAACTCATCCCTGTCAGGGGCTGATGGGAGTTGGAGCCTGACAATACGTGGAAGGCTACAGGTTCCCCATCCTGGGCAAGTACAGCTGTATGCAAGAGGACCTCTGCAGACACTCACATGATCTATGGATCCTAGGGCAGTACCTTGCCTAAACTAGTGACCTTCTAGGTGCCTCCTGCCTCCTCCTATGGCAGGAAGATAACAACCCACCTCAGTTATATGATGAAGTCTATCAATAAAGAAATACTTCTAGAACAGGATTCTAGCTCTGCTAAAAACGACCCACCTGACCTTAGCGTTTCACATTGAAGAGTTAGAAAGCAGATCCTCTGCTTAAAATTAGAGGCAGTATATTCACAGGAAGTTTCATTCTGAATCATTAGAAGAAAATATTTCCAGCTATTTAATTGTATTTATCACCAAGGCTATTTTAAATAAAATATAATTACGATGCTGACTTTTTTTTATTAATTACTGCAGAGGCCATCAAATAGCTACCAGCTATTAAAATCTCTCTCTGAATTCTAATTATCATACTCGAGAGGGTTCTTCTATTTTGAGAAAAGAAATCCGTTGCTCAGAGGGATGTTTCTTATTCTCAATCCTTAAGAAAGGAACGTAAATAAATCGAGGTTGAAAAACAAACCCTAAAACACAAATTGTTCAAAGGGGTAGATAATCCATTTAATTGCATTGGGCACATTTAATAGAACTGGCTGGCTTCTTGTGATTTGAATCATATGTTTTAATAAATAGATAGATAGATGATAGATAGATAGATAGATAGATAGATAGATAGATAGATAGATAGAATAGATAGAATATTTGTTAATAAGGTAAGTTGCCTTGGGACAGTTGCAGCTTTGAAAAGTGGCTTAGGTCACATCCACACCAAACATTTAAAGCA